AGGTACACGTCGGTGTTTGTATTTTTCATTAAACTCGTAGATCCAAAACAACCCCCAACGATTTTCGGACATTCGTAATCGTTATCAAAGTATAACTCGTTATTCTGATGGCTGAGCAATCTGCATGCTCTCGCGTTTTCCTGATATAAGTGCACGTAGTTCTAGTGAAAACTTTAAATCGGTTTAAACGTGAAGAAGCATTCCTATTATATTCTTTTCTTTCTCTCTCTCTCTCTCTTATTTTTTCTTATTTATTTAATTTTTAAGTAACCCATAGTCTCGTCGTTTCACAATTAATCTTTGCAGAAGATACTTTTTTCTGTCTTTAGCGTACCTTCTTGTCCAACTTACAACGTGTATTATTTTTTCTTCTGTCTCTATCTCTCTCTCTCTCTCTCTTTCTTTCTTTCTTTCTTTCATTCCCATCATCAGTAATCGATTTCTTGATTTTCCTTTTATAAAAAAAATAATAAATCGTCGCCCTTGTTTTTGGACGCGAATATTTGCTTCATTGAACCTTAAAAAAAGTTGTTTTCTAATAACGGGCTATGGGTGTCTCTGCTGCCTTTACTTTGTATGTCAGTTCGTTATACGGAAAGAGATAAACAAAAAAAAAAAAGAAAATAAAATAAAGAGAGAAACGACGAATAAACGAATTTCGAGTTGAGTTACGCAAAATAAAATAGGAGTGGGGACACATGCCGAGAACACGGGCTGTTGCCGAGACCGATGACGAAGACTACTACCCCGAAGATGCAGTATCACCTAGGGGCGAGTAATCTACCATCTACCTAAAACCTACTGTCTCTTAGATAACGTCGTCGTAATATAAAGTGGTTTTTTAATGTTATATATTCCATAGTAAAATCCTAGAAAACACAAATTAATCACCACGGAATGATGGGACGATAAATTATTGTCGAATGTGTATGTTATGTGTATTTTATTTTTACAAGTGTCGATAAATGGATATTAAACACATTTGAAGAAAAATAAGAAAGAAAATAAATGAAATAAAATACAATAAAATTGTCATCTCGATCCTCGACAAGTCCGTCATTCCGAAGTGATAATACGTAAGAGCGTAGAGAAATTAGATAACTCGAGCTAAACAAATTTACATAGTTATCCAATTAGAAACAATCAGTAGTAAAAGAAAATCATTTTATCCGACTAACCTTTGTAATTAACGTTCGCAGTAATTAATTTAGATCGCGTTAAGATTGCCAACACACAATGTTATATATTATTATTTATTTCTAAAATATATATTATCTATCATATTGATAGATGTGTGAACATTTGTGTAACATTTAAAATTGTTATTTGATTATTTTTGTTCTTTGCTATAACTATATTTTTTATGATGTTGGTTATCTTAACCGATGCTTAGGCAATATAGATATAAATTCGAATTAAAATAGAAATACTTCGAGCGTTTCGCAATAAGTATCTTAGGTATAAAACAACTGTTTCTTGAGTGTCGTCTAAGTTGAATTTAAGTGGTTATAGAGAACGTAGTAAATGGGCGTCTTTGAATGACCGATAGCAATAAATCGTTCCTTCAATGTCGCTGATTTCTAGAAAAATAGATCGATTCTTCTATTTAGTGTAGTCAATTAGTGGGTAGATAGTAAAAGAGTGAATCTTATTTTTGTATGTTTTATGTGTGTACTTGCAGATATGATTATCTCTATTTATACATATATATATATATATATATATATACATATACATATATTAATTATATATTTATATGTCCTTAATATATTACCCGCTGTACCTGCGATTAGTATCTTTTTTGAATTTTAGTGTTACTCTTATATATATCTACACTTCGAAATTTGTTATCATTACGTGCTGCTGGACTTTAACACTAGCAAATATTAGTACGCCATTCTAGACTAGCGAAATGAAACACGCGTACGTAGTAGTTTAGATTTCTTTTCGATAATTTTAATAACAATATTAACAATTAATAATTAATATATATATACCATATATGGATTATATATACCATGAATTAATATGATCATTTTTAGTGATATACATATATATTTTTATAAATTTACTAATTATACGTGTTCGTAGTTTAGGTAATAACAATGATCATTTTCTTGACAAAAATTTCTTTTTCATTCCTTCGTCGTGTCATATATAACGCGATGGTATATCTTTTAATTGAACCATTTTTTAATTAACCGACTCTTGTGGCGTTTAACGATCGGCCATTGCTGCTGATTAACAAATCACTCGTCCAACGTGTTGCTTCGTCAAAGCCTATTTTTGCGATATGCTTTCAGTTGGAAGAACTGGGATATCGATTTCCTGGACAATGCATGATGCGAGCAAGGTCAAGGTGTGATCATCGACTTCTTTTATCAAGAAAAAAAAACAAAAAAAAAAAAGAAAGAAAAACCTTCGTTGATATGTTCTCTCTTCGAATCATTCATTTTTTTTGTTTTGCTCGTCGTCATCCTACGTGAACTATTTTTATTCTAGTAGTAAACACAAAACGCATACGTTACGTTTCGAAAAACCCAAGTAAGCTTTCGGTTTATTGAAAAGGAAAAAAAAAACAAAAAAAAAGAAAAAATAAATAAATAATAAAAAAAAAAAATAAAAAATAATAATAAAAACGGGACACCCAGTTGACGTCACACGCCTATTTCGAAAACGTCATTCGATGGTATATATTAAAAAAATTTGTTTTTCCGCGATCGATGATCGAGATCGCGATAAGAATGAACTATCGCGGAGCTTATTTTTCCCTTCACAATTCATCTACGATATTTTCGCTATTATCACACACATACACACACCTCACCCCCCCCATACCCTCATACTGTCTCGATGGCATCTCTTAAGCTTCCTTTCTGGTTGGATTTCTCGCGGGGTGCAATCCATATCCGGAATCTCGATCGCGTTTACGTCAGCTGGAGATACACTCGAAATAGATGAACTCTTGACCTAGATCCCTATGCGTCCGCTGTTTTTGGTGGATCGAGATGAAGAAGAGGAAGAAAGGAGTAAGGAGAATGAGAAGATGATCTTTGAACGTTATAGATATTTAACTTCTCTTTCATTTCTTTCTTTTCTTTATTTTCTTTATTTCTATCTTATCTCACTTCTCTCTTGATTCATACGATACATTAATCGTATTAAGATTTCATTTGTCGCGACATTAAACACTACTTAAGAAAACAAATTGTTTAAATATTTCAATTCCATCATTTCTTATTATACATACCATTTTTTCTCCCCTTGCTTTGAGATTATTAAATAAAATCACAGATAAACTAGTCGCAACGATTACTAATATAATAAGTCAAGAGTTCTTGTAAATTCTTATTGAATTTGTTTTTTCTTCTTCTTCTTTTTCTTTATTTTTTCTTGTTCTATTCACTAACCAACGCTTTTATTCTTTCATTTTTCGATTTTACCTGGTATCAGGAATTTCATTTACGGGTATACACCGGGATGATGGTATACGGGGTAAAAATATGAGGGAGACAGGTCGAAGGAACGCGAGCAATCGTTCTCCCGTTGTTGTTGTCCCTTTTTTCTTTTCCTTTTTATTCTCCCTTTTTTTCTTCTCTCTCTCTCTCTCTCTCTCTCTCTCTCTCTCTCTATGTATCTATCTATCTATTTTTCTCTTTCTATCTTCTCCTCCATTGGTCTCTATGTCTCCTATGAAAAAAAAAAAAGAAAAAAAATGAAAAAAAAGAGAGCCTATCTCTTTCGATGGCACTAAACTTCCGAATAAAAACCATCGATATGGAGACAGACCACACCATTAAGCGTCGTGATATGCCGTACAAATCACGTCTATCCAGGATTTATGGATCCCGCTCATCCCTTCGGCGTATCACGCGTTATCGCCAGCAACAACGGGCGTGTACCCGAAACGATATTCCTGCATGAGAACGCTTCGTTTCAACAGCATCGAAATACATGACCCTTCTTCTCTCTTTCTCTCTCTCACTCTCTCACTCACTCTCATTCTGCCGGCGGTGTCGGTAAACTGCATATCGCGATTTCAAAACGATAGCGCATCGTGTTCCAAAACGTTACCAGCAGCACACGTCTATATAATGTAGGAATATTAAAAAAAAAACTTTCGTAAGGGCTCTTAAATATTCGCCAAGTTTTTTTAATCTCCAGTGCTTTTTTATATAATATCGGTAATTAACGCGCTTTGGGTAAACCATTAATGATTATTAATTCAATTATTATCGATACGATTAAATTGGCAATGTCTTATTCATTTCTCTATTACATATTTTAATTTTATTTTTGTAACGATACAAATACGCGTATTACATTTTTGATTCTTTCGCGTATTCTTAATTAAGAAATATTTTGATTATCGATCAAATCCACATTATCGCATCACGTAAAAATTGCTTGTGCCATTGATTCGCGCTTTTGAAGGGAGCTTGAAAATCTATTTATATTAAATTCGCTTTTATCGATCGTTAGAAAATTTCCAGATCTTTCGATGTGTCCCACATATCCATTCCTAAATCGCGATATTTATCTATATATATATTTTCCCATTTAAATACCGCGAGAATAAAATTCATCGCGAAAAAAGAAAGTTTCTTTATCGAGTAATCGAGTCTTTCGTATAAACTCTCGTGGAATCATTTAACGTACGACGTTGGAACGATATCAAAAGATTTTTCAAAAGTTACAAAATTGATACGATTCGATAAAACGAATAAGATTTTCAACAATCTTCTACTCGAGTTTCAACCAATGAAAAGTTTTTTCATCGAGTATCAAAGAGTTTCGTTAGTTTCATACACGTTGACAATATAAATCAAAATACGTTTGTCGTGAAAATTTCTATATTCTACGTCTTATTCCAACGTCGTACGATTATTGTATTCCATCCGTTAATCAAAATTCAAACCGTCACCGTCGTAATCATCACGTTTCTTAATTTTAATCACATCAGATTATCAGCCCTCTTCTTTATTCTTTATTAATGTTAGGAGTGCCGACGGTGTACTACTACGGATCCGGAAGTGAAAATGCAGGCCGCGCATTTACGGAGACACCAATGCAACACGTCCAACGGACTGCACTGCGGAAGAAATGTATGATTGTCGAAAATATCCATTTCGATTGATAGACGCACTTTCAGAACAATTTTTTCTAGATATATATATATATATACACATACATATTATACATACAAACATCTAAATATATATATATATATATATATATATATATTCATGCATATACATACCTATATAAAAAAATATAGGTAAACACACGAAGTGTACACAAGCTGTTACTCTTATACTCTCTTATTATTCTCCATTTCTCATCATCATCATCATCATCATCATCATCATCATAATCATCATCATCATCATCTCTTTCTCTTAATCATCTGTGCGACCATGCTCCATCAAACTTCCACCTATAGAGAGAGAAAGACGTAATAGTAGTAGTAGTATCATAGTAATAGTAGTAATAGTGGTAGTAGTTCGCGTGTTCCGCCGATTGTTGTGTACTTGCTCATCGATTCTCCTCCTCTTGAAAATCTTTCACGGTTCGCATCGCTCATAGCGATTCATACATTTCTGCCTTCGCCGGTCCCTCGCGGAAAATGCATATTAGCGACGGAGTACATTTCGATGCACCGAGTGCTACTCGAGGGAATAATACGGCGGCGGCAACGTCGGTGGCGGCGGCAGTGGCGGTGATGGCGACCGTGGTTCGCCTGGTGCATTCGATCGATATCCATAGGTTTATTATGCCCCAACGAATATTCCGCGGACCGTCGGATGCTCTCAAAATACGAAAACTGTTCTCTCTCTCTCTCTCTAGTTCTCTTTACCAGTACTACCTCCAACCATCCTGCCCTATTACTATCTATCTATCTTTCATTTCACTCGTACTCCTCGTGCTTGCTATTGGCCCGGTCGGATTGCATCTGAAATATCTTTGCAATTATTTTCTTTTTTTACTTTTTTTTTTTTGAAAACTTTTACAAAAAGTATGGATCATCCGCGACGAGATTAAACCACCCACTACAGCCCTCCGTCCCCGACCCTTGTCTCTAAATCGTCATCCTTTGAAATTCATTTCTAGGAAGAGAAGTCGATTACTTTTTTCTTTTTTTCTTTCCTTGACGAAGCGACACACCGGAAAACACATCTATCGCATCTTTCATATCTATTCCGGTTCTATCTGTAACTTTTTTTCCTCTTTCATCCGCGGAGTTTCGAGTTCCTTCCTCTTCGTTGCCCGCGTAAGTTGCTTTTTATTATTTTAAATGGAACGCGCGCGCGCGAAAATCGACAAGACCGAAGATAAAATAATAACAACGGGGGAAAAAAAAAAAAGAAATGAGTTAAGTACGATGAAGGAAACGCCGGCGCGAGAGTCGGTAATGAATATAAAAAGAGAATCTCGTCGAGGTGAGGAAAGAAATAAAAAGAACAAAAAAAAGAATTATAGAAAGAGAAAAAAAAAAAGAAAAAAAAGGAATATAACGAAGCATCTTCTTTTACTCTCTGTAACGAGTTTCTTCAGGTACGGAACAGTTGTGATCAGAGTTTTATGTTTCAGTGGATCTTACCAACGGACAGCTCACCCCCAACAACAACACGCCCTTGCTCACGCAAGCTCTTTCTGGTACGTTTATAACTTTTCCTTCTTCTTCTATCTTTTAATGCTTTTTGATCGTGCGCTTTTTTCCTCTCTCTCTCTCTCTCTCTTTCTCTCTCTCTTTAATTTTTCTCTCATCTATAGGTGTTTTCTTACATTTTTATTATTCTTTTTCTTTTCTTTAAATTCGTACGACAATAATATCGATAATACGGACAAATGGGCGTAGCTCTATCTATCTCTGTCGTACAAAATAAAATTACCAAATAGAAAGAAAGAAAAAGGGTTTTAATTTCTACGTTAAATCTTATCGGAATATCCGATGTCATCGAACGATTCATCATCTTTAAAGTCCTCCTCCGCATCGGTGGAGTTACGATAGAGAATACGAGGAAGGGGAAGAGGAAAAAGTAAGAAGAGAAAGACGGGAGGGGATGGTGGTGGTGGAAAAGGAGGAAAAGGAGTCACACATGTGTGTGGTAGGGGGTGTGCCGTGATGCCGGCAGCAAAATACACCAGCTTCTTCTTCTTCTTCTTCCTTCTTCCTCCTTTTATATTTTTTTTCTATTTTTTTTATTCCACTTCCTCCACCTTTCTTCTTCTCCTTCGGTGGTTCTTCTCGTTCCTTCTATCCACAGCCCTGGAATCCGAGGCCGAGCAGCCACCGCCTACCACCACCACCACCATCACCACTACCACCACCACCATCACCGTCGTCGTCGTGCCGTCCGCAATCTCCTCTCAAATAAATCAAACTTTTGAATCGCGTCTCTCTTTCCCGTTTTCTCTCCTCAAGCCATTTCGCATTCGCCTACCATCGTCCTGCTCTGGGAGAAAACTTTGTAACCGGCCGCTATTGTCAAGAGTTTAAAAGCTGAATGGGTTTTTAGATTGTGCGCCCAGCGCACTTTCGGTTTGTCATACTCTTCTGGCTTCCTCTTCTTTCTACTACAACGTCGTCGTACTTTTCATCTTTTCCTCTCTTTCTCTCTATCGTTCACAAGTTTCGAATTCTTCGCGTGGCCCTCTCGACTTCCACCTCCTATCTACCCGGTACCACTACTACCAACCACCCACCCACCCCCTCTTCCCTTATTTCTTTCCTTTTCTTCCCGACATTTTTCCTCTTCTCTCATCTTAACCCTCTCCCTCTCTTTACTTTTTTTTTTTTTTCTACTGTCTGCATCCGTAAATTCAAAAAGTATTATACAGGTATCATTGCGAAAACGTTTAAAGCCCACCATGTTTTCTTCTTCGTTTCCGTGGGACCTTTAGAGTAGTTGGTACTCGAACGATAACGTTTATCGTCGATATTCGATCTTCGACCCCGTTTCTTTTCATTTCTTTCTCTTCCCTCCGTTCTTCTTCTTCTTCTTCTTATTCTTATTCTTTGTTCGCATTGGCGGAGAGTCGAAGAAAAGAAAAACGACCTTCTTTTCCTTCTCCCTTCTTTCCCCTGTAAAAACTTTTGCTTTTTTTCTATAAAATTCTTGAATGAGTTCGCTGATTCTGTTTTATTTCTTGTTACTTTAAATCGTATCGTTACTACCACCCACCACCCCTTCTCTTCGCGAAAGAAGTTTTCAAAGCAACGAAAACCATCCATTCCCCCGAAAGATTAGGTATTCTATATAGTTTCGCTGTGTAGTTTTCTACTTCTCACTTTTTTCTTTACATTTTTCTTTGTTTTTATTTGTCTCTCTTCCTCCTATTTGTTTTGTGAATGCACCGAGGTTATGCACCCCATCATCATCGTATCTCTTTGATATATCCAAAGGAAAACTTTGCCTTTCCTTTCCTTGAAAGTGAAGAAAGGCGAATACTTTTTTCCATATCTCTCTCTTTCTCTCTCTTTCTTTTCCTTCAAGCATGGTTTTACTTTGATGTAACATCCACTAACGCGCTCTACGAAACTTTGTCGACCGTTTACACGCATCGCTGATTGTCTATACCTAGTATTGCGCAAACTGAGTCGCAATCCCTCAAGGGTAAGCGAAATTTTTACGAATTTAACGCAAAACAACGATAAAAATTCAAGGTATTGTATATTCGTTTTACAACTTCTTCACGAAATATATAAATAAAATCATATTATTATATTTATATTTATATATTAAATCAAAATTAAAAGAATTTTATATAAATGTCGTATTTTTAAATTTCGTTAATATCCGTTTAAATAATTTGAGATATTGAGATCAACGAAAACGACATCGTGAGAATGATTCTTTCTAGTTTATCTATCGGGGAATATAAAATAGAAAAAAAAAAAATTGTCAATACGCGTCTCGTATTTCTGTTATCCAATAGAAACAAGGTAATAAAAGTAAACTTTCTTGGTGTTACGTTTATCAAAACATTGCATTGCAACACATACAAAATCGAATGGGGAAATAAATAAACTGTGGAAACAGTATAAAATGAAAAGAAAAAAAAAAAATATATATATATATATATATAAAAGAACCGTGGGGATAGATCGATTATGTTTTCATTCGAATACGTGCGCGAATTCGAATCAAACAGTTTTGATTTTCCCACTGCGAATTCCCGCTGTCGAAATCGAACAAGCGTGATTACGTTATTGCTAGTATTGTGTATGCAAAAAAAAAAGAACTCATATATGCGGTACGTACGTAAAAAAAAGGAGGAGGAGTAGGAGTAGGAAGGGGGAAGGGGGATGGAGACAAAAAAAAGAAAAAGTTTAGAAAATTGAGTATATATATAAAAGAAAAAAAAAAAACAAAAAAGAAAGGAAAAGGAAAAAGTGGGAATTGATGATGCATAATGGTCTGAAGAACGCGTGCGTAAATTGCAGTGATGAACAACTACCAGGCCGCAGCACAAGCCGGATTTCCGCCAGCATCGCCGCATGCGGCAGGTGGCCATGGTGGGCCCCAAGGCCGATCCTTTCCCGCGGCTAACTCGCCGGGCCCGATAGACATGTACAGTTCGAGTGCCGCAGCCGCAGCAGCAGCAGCAGCCGCGGATTCCGCAGTTGCCAGCTACGTCCAGGCCGCAGCTAGTCCGCAGCCTCCCACGACCGCGTTTCCCGCGATCGCTGTTTCTCGCGCCCCGCTCAACTACAGCCCCGTAAGTTTTTTTAATCGAGTGACTAAACTCGAGACATTATTTTTTTTTTCTTCTTTTTTTTATAATGTATTTAACACGTTCGTTTTCTCCTACGTCACTCATCGTCTAGTCAGCATTGTGGGTGTTTCCGTGGGTGACCCCCATTAATTAGATACATGGATATTATATTATAGTATACGTTATAATATATTTTTTATTGTATTACGTTATATTCGTTAAACCACGTACGTATGTTGTAACTCTACTGTCTACAATTCAGGTACATCGCGACAGTTAGATAGGATATTTAATTGGAATTTACTAAACACTGAAATATAAATATATAAAAATATTTAAAATATATATTATAATATATTTTTATTATATTATTGTATTATATAGTATCATCAAACTCTATTCAAATGTTGTCGTGCTATTATAGTTGTCTATAATTCAAATGCACCGTGACAGTTGCATTTGGGCCTGTTAAAGAAACAAAGCCAAATTCTGGTGGATGATGAACGTGTTAAATACATATCAAATCATTCGAACGGCGGCTCTTTGCTCGTCTCCGAACAACGATTAACTAAGAAATAACAAATTTATCTTTTTATGCATTATAAGTATTATTAAATGCAACAAATCGGTTCACAACAAGTTCTGTATCTTTTTTTTTAATTTAACATACATTTGTTTTAAAGCCACTTAGGGAGAAATAAATACGAAAAGTTAAAATTGCCTCGACTAGCTGGTACTATTCCCATCGGACAAGAATTTTCCGATCGCAAAGGGTTAAATCTCCATCACCGAGGTTTCATTTTCTTTCTTTCCTTTTTTCTCGCGTCTCGATCGAATTTATTATCTTATCTCTATTAATGTTATTCTAACTCTTTCATATATATTCAACGTATTTGTTAAACAATTCTTTGGCATGAGAATAAAAAGTTGCACGAAAATGATATATAGCACGAAACGAGTTTAAAAGGATCATGAAATATATATATATATGTATATATGTATAAATACATAAGAAATTTTGTTATTTCTTTCTCGTATTTTTCCATTCTTTTCGGATTATCAGTTGGAAGATTCTTTTTCTAGGGATCGAATACACGTCGATAAGGAAATTCTTCTTTGTACAGAATCTTTTTCCGCTTCTACGAACAAATCGGCCCGAATAGGCGAATAGTTTAGCTAGATAAATTTTGTAAAACGCTTCAACCGGAAAAATGAGAATGCGGTTGAATTTAGATTTTACGCTTCGAGCGATAGAAATATTATCGAATCGATTTCTTTTGATTCCGTCAATATTATACGGAATTACGTTTTATTTTCTTTTCTTTTCTTTTCTTTTTTTTTTTCTTCTTACACATCTCACTAGGAAATTATTTTACATAAAATATAAGAGTTTTTATTTAACCCAAGGGAATTTACGTAATTGTTCGGAAAGTTTGCATTCTTAATAATCAAGGGAGAAACGTATTTTTTTCTTTTAAAATAATTATAATATTTTTCTATATCATTTTTTGAATTCGTTGTCGAACGATTTAAATATTAATTCGTCAAACGTAACATAATTTTAACGTCATTTTATTTTAGCTTAAACATTCCTGATCATCCTCGAGCTTAACTATTTTCTTTCGTGAAAGTATGCCAACGAAATATTTAATTCATCGTCGTAACTCGCGAAAAATTTGATCAGTATAATAAATGAACAATAAAGATATCACAAAAAATTGATTTTCCATCGCGTGAAAAAGATTCCAATCATTTTTCTTTACACTTTAAGAAATCACGAGTGAGTATTATTAGCTTTCCAACTAATTATACTAACAACAACGTCAAAAACATGACAGTGCTATCTTTTGTCTGTCAAATCCCTCGTAATAGTCAATTTAATATCTATTTCATAAATATAGATATTTTTCGTGTTATAATATATAAATTTTTAATCATACTAACAAAGATTTTGCCTTTTCTTGTTTCAGGGACCTCTGATACCAGCGGCGTTCACTAATGGCTACCATTGAGCCTCGTTAAGATCTAATAACAGGTACATTGTTTCAATCAAATACATGTCATTAACCTAGTAAAATATTTAAACAAACATCCTTAATTCCATAATATTTACTTTCTATTTTCCATTATTTATTTCTTTCTTTTCCCGATAGTATGTTGTAAAATATAAAATCTGATTTTATAATTGTACGTAATCTAGGGAAAGGAATCGAAAAAATTCTAACAACAACAACAACAAAAAAGAAAAAAGAAAAAATAATAATACAAGTCCAATAAAAAAAATATTATGATTTTTTTTCTTCTTCTAATCTTTAGGATGGACGAGAGGGCAGAGCGCAGCACGGTCGAGTGACAGCACAACGAGCACTGTAGTAGACGCCTTGGGAAAAAAACTGATCACACGGTTGATGACGATCTCTCGACAAGTATTAAAAAGAAAAAAAAAGAAAAATGAAAAAAAAAATAATAATAAAGGAAAAAAACACACACACACACAATTGAAAAATGGAAATACGGGACTACGACTACTACGACTACTACGACGACTATGACGACTACTACTACTACGGACGACCACTATTACTACTACTACTACTACTACTACTACTACTACTACTACGTCAGAGGACTGAATATAAGGTGAGAAAGGAAGCCAAAGGATGCTTTCCAGTTAGACGAGACTTCCGAATATGACCAGCCGAGCGTACCACCAGCTACTACCTACTACTCCCCCCCTCCTGAATATATAAAAAAAAAACAAATACAAAAAAAACAAGGTCTTCGCGGTAAGAAGAGTTCAAGCCGGGGGGCAGGGAACGGGGGGAGGGAGACAAAACGACATCGAAATAAAAAGCTCGCGCGAACAGGACGAAGAGAGATATATGATTGAGAGGGAAAAAAAAGAGAGACAGACGGTGGCAGAAATAGACGTCTAAAAGGGGGTGGATATCAAGAAGTCGAATAAAAAAGATAAACACAGGAAGGCAGGCAACGTGCGCGATGGGGTAGCACGAGCAAGAAAAACGGGAATACGAAAGATTGGGGAAAACTTAGTGCAAGAGAGAACAAAAATATGAAAGAAAGAAATAGATAGAGAAGGAAGAAAGGCAAGGAAGAAAAAAGAAGAAGAAGAAGCGCGTTTGAAGAAAAGCAAGAGAGAGAGAGAAATATATATGACCGATGACACGAGTTGTTTTACGAAAACACACACACAGGCTAGCAGCTGTGGCCGAAACTGCGTATTGACGCCAGCCCGTTCACCGACATTAATAAATAAAAAAAAAATAATATAATAAAATAATAATAATAATAATAATAATAATAATAATAATAATAATAATAATAATGAGAATTACATTAATATTATTAAAAGC